TATCCCCTGTGTGCCTTGATGAGAAGAACACGCGCCTACAATTTTAAGTGATTTGGATTTGTAGATTTTTAAACACAAAATGCGGTCCTGACCATCAGAACGGCCTAGATTCAATTTGGGCCGTTGGGCTCATATGCTCATATGAGCTAGTGGGCTAATCCGAAATTTTTCCATCTATATATGGAAAAGTCTTCCCTCATCACCGTCCAAATTTCATCTCCCAGTCATGATTGTCCGGTAGTATCTTATTTTTAATTTTTTTTCTACAAATTGGAATGATCTGAAATTTGAAGAGTATGTATATCTTACTGAGGCGCATCAAATAAAAAAATGTAAAAAAACATTATCCATGGAAACAAACTTGACCAAAATACCCTTGAAACATTTCGAGGGTATTTGGTCAATTTTTTTTATGTTTTTTTTATATTTTTTGAAGATTGCCCTATTTTTTATGAATACACACTTCAATTTTTAGGTCATTCCGATTTGTAAAAAAAAACTGAAAAATGAAACGCTATCAGACAATCGTGACCGCACGATGAACTTTGGACGGCGATAGGCGTAGGCAAAATTATTGTTAATTTTCACCTATAACCGTTGCATAGTATTTTCCTATATATATATATATATATATATATATTCGACATTACAAAAAAACCATTAAAAGATCGAATTGAAAAAAAAAAAACACACACACACAACGCCACGATAATCTAAAGAGAGTGAAATACTATATTGTTCCGGGAATCTACTGTGCACTTATCTCTTGACTAAAAATATGTCAAAGTTAGGATCTATAAAAAGATTACTAGATGATTATTTTAAAAAATTAGATTTTAAATTTTCCAAATTTCAAATCACACATGAGCTTCTATCTTCCCACTTGTCCGCGGATGGAATTGACGATGCCTCTGCTTAAGGAAAGCGTGGTCCCTCACGCGCGTGGTCCCTCACGCCTCTCTTCCTCACATTTCTCCCACTGCCAATCACCGTCACTAGTCATGCTAAAGCAACCGACAAAAAGTCCGTGTCCATTAACCATAGCCACAAGGGCCACAACACAAGTAGGCATCATAAATAAGTGAATGATCTTTAAAGTCAAGATTTGAAAGAAGCACCTCCCAACAATAAGAATAACAATAACAATAACAAGAGCAATAATAATAATAATAACTGTCATTATTATTATTATTATTATTGTAATTAATTAATTGTTACTCGAAAAATAAATGGAAAAAGGGTTGAGTCGTGGTGGTAACACCCCATACCTAATTATCATGTTGTGGTTTCCAATCCTAATCATACCGAAATCTTCAAAAAAGCTAGCTTCATGGTCTATATGAAAAAATAGGCAAGGGCTATCTTTCCCTCTGAGTTACTCAAAAAATATATATATATCATCTTCGAAATTTAGACAATACCTATTCATTTTCGAGACATTATTTTTATCAAGCCCATAAAAAATGCAATTTCAGGTTTTATTTTTTTATTTAATTGAGATTAGTGTATGAGTTGAAGAGATTAAGAATAAATAAACGGAAGGCTGTCACATAAGCATAAAATCTTTTACCCTTCAATTATTATATACGAGTTACTCTTTGCTAGCTAGAGGTGTTATCGGTCCCTTTCTTTGATTCTAAAACCGTTATTTCGATTTTTCTCCATCACTTAGTCTATGCTCTCTTTCTCTTTTACTCTTCCCCATAAAACTCCTATCTTTTCTCCCTTTTTTATTTTCAAGAAACCTCTCTCTCATACACACACATGAAATGGCCATGAAAAGGAGGTTGTGGAGCCCTGTAATTCAATTGATCCTGCTACGTTATGCAGTATCAGAGTATAGCTTGGCCGAACTCCTCCCCAACTTTAGCAAGGGTGACTTTCCCCAAGGCTTTATATTTGGAGCCGGAACTGCTGCTTATCAGGTCATTTTTCTTTTTCTTTTTTTCTTTTTTCCTTTCTCACATTTTGTACTTCCTCAAAATTCACATAAGGGAACGAGAATCAAACATCTGTTATGGGTGGTGGAGCAGGTTGAAGGGGCAGTAGCAGAGGATGGAAGGAAACCAAGCGTTTGGGACGTTTACACACACGCCGGTCCCTTTCTCTATAAAAATCTTTTATTTATTTATTTATTTATTTATTTTGATATGCTTTGTGGGATTGCAGGGTCGGAGGTTATGTTCAGACATCCACACACTGGCCTTAGGAAAATTGTGCAAATATCTCTTTTCTTGCATTATTTGAAATAAATTCCATAATTTTAAAAATTTTAGACCCATATTTTTGTTCCTTTCTTTTCATTTTTTCCAAAATACTTCGGAGCCGGCACTCCAAGTGCCAACTCACATGCTGGAGGCCTGTGGGAAATTCAAAGTGAGCATTGAAAAGGGAAAATAAAGAGAAAAAAGGGATAGAGTTATTATACGCAACAATTATGGGACATATTTTCAATACCGCTATTTATGAAAAGTATTATTACTGTTGTTGTTGCTATTGATGAAAAAGTAAATAATTTTTTTTATAAATTCAGGAAAAGTGCCTGATAATAGCACGGGAGACATAGCAGCAGATGAATATCACAAGTACAAGGTATTCCTACCGCATTTATCACTGTTTGATTTAATTGTTCCCCTTACTCCTTTTCAGTGGTCTGATTATGCATAATTTGTCCTCCCCTTTTTTCTTTTTTTTTTTCTTTTTTTTTTTGAGATTATTTAGATTTCACCTTCCATTTAATACCATTTTAACTTTTAGATAAAAAATAACTGTGTTTGTTGTCTAGCAATGCGTGATTAAAAAAAATCATTTATGTTGCCATACGTTATTATGTTACATATTTCAGAAGAAGATGAAAATCAACTTAATTACTTTTTTCTAGATTATTAATTGTTTTTGTCTATGATTAACAAAACTTACCCAGCTGGAATTAAGGTTGGCAAGAACTCATTACTTACCGGGGTATGGTTTGCATGAGGTTGCAACCTTAAACAATCCAAGTAAAGCACACCTCAAAAAAATTTTATAAATACAATTTTAATATCAAAAAATTCTTAAGATGGCTTGAAAATCTATTTTCATTACTAATTATAAAATTTTAAACTCAAAAAATGGTTCAAATCAAGTAGATCTACGAACACATAAAAATCTAAAAAATGGACGGTCCAGATAACGTGTTGTAAGATACAGTATTTTGCAGACTCAAAATATTTTTTTCTTTTCATATTTATATATCTTGATGCCGAGTTGGTCAATTAAAAGATTTTCCAACATCCAAACAGCCTTTAATGATGGATTTTCGAGGTGCATCTTTAATTCTACACTTTAAGGGTTGCAGTCTTATATAAAATTTTTCCTTCCTTACCATGATGGCGTGAATATTGGGTTTGACTACCCTATCTAGTGTACAGGGTATAGAATATTTACCATGTATATAAAGAGCATGGAATGCTTACACACGTTCATCCTTTAAGAAAATACTTGCCTCAATGATATTTAGAATCTCCCACTCAATAACATTTGTTTAGTTTTGTAGGAAGATGTGAAGCTTGCACAAGATATTGGCATGGATGCCTTCAGATTCTCCATCTCATGGTCAAGGGTTATTCCAAGTATGTATGATATATTTTCTCATCATGTAACACTCAAAAATTTAAAAAAAAATTATCATCTTTTGGTAAATTTGTATTTATTATTCTCATGCAATATATTGTCTTATTTTCTGATTTTAAAAAATTCCCAATATGCATTCCATACAGATGGAAGAGGAGCGGTTAATCCAAAGGGCATAATTTATTACAACAATCTCATCAATGAACTCATCAGCCATGGTATATTTAACCCCCCTCTCTCTCTCTCTCTCTCTCTAAGACTCACTTGGTTAAGGAAGGGTAGTTTAGTGTTTGGGTTATTTGGATGAAAGAAGAAAAGAGAATTGGGTATTGGGTTTAAAAGGGAGGGACATGAGTTTTAAAAAAAAAACCGTATCGGTGAGGGGAGAGAGAGTTTTCGACTCTGTTGGGTTATTGGGTGAGAAAAGGAAGAGAAGAATATAATAATAAAAAAAAGAAAAGTGCTTTTTGATTTTTTAGAGAGAGAGAAAGCTGTACATTGGATTGTAAAGTTTGAGAAGAGAGAGATGGCTTATTGGGTGGTGATTACGTGTAAGAAGGTAAGGTCACCAGAAACTTGTGTTGGGTGAAGAGAGAGAGAATGAAGGACATCAAAAAATTGAGGAGACGAAAAGAAACAAGACGCAAGGAAAGGAAAGGAAAATGAAATGGGAAGTTTTAGAGTGAGAAAATGGAAGATCGCATAAGAGTTGAGCGTGAAAGAGTGGGGATATGGAAGTTGTTATGATATTCGCTATTTTTAGAGCTTAAAATCTTTATTTTTTTTTTAGAAGAGTTGAGCGTGAAAGGGAAGAAAGATGGGTTGGAGTTGGGGGTAGGTGCTGGTCGGAGGTGAAGGTGTCGCAGCAGTGAGTGGGTTTGTAGAGGGGTGAGAGATTACTCGTGTGGAGATGGAAGCAGCAATGTTGGGGCTGCTAGAGAGAGAGAGATAGAGAGATGGGAGGTGAAGCCACGAGGTGGATGCACAATAGTGAGCGGGGCTACATGAAAAATGGCACAACCGGCGCTACATGGAAATATGGCACATCCCGGGCTACGTGGAAAATAGCACAACCGGCACTACGTGCAAAAATAGCACAACCGGCGCTAGTCTACTAAGATTTGGGGAATGGTGGTCGAGTCCGACCACGGATCGTGAGAGGAAAAGAAAGAACGCGTGCACCTAAAAGGGCAAAGGTAAAGGTTCAAACAAAAAGAATAGGAAAGGTGATGGTCACGAGGGACCACCAAAAAAAGATAGAGGAGGTAGATCCGAGGGTGCATATGAAGTAGACGAACGTGTTAGGGTTAAAGAAGTAAAGTAAAAAAAAAGAGAAATTGTGGTCATACCGGACCACAAGGAGGAAGATGAGAGAGTTGTGGTCGTGAGAGACCACTAGGACAAAAGAAGAGGAGAGTCATGGTCATACGAGACCACACGGAAAGGAAATATGAAAGAAGAGAATGAAAAAAACACAGATCATGATGGGGCTCCGCCGTCTATGAAAAAGGAGAGAGAAATAGAGAGAAGAGAAAGAAAACAGAGGTGATGACTACTCCTACCACTCGTGCGGAGTACTGAGCCCATCGCTTGGGAGGGGCTTGGACCATCATCTTGGTCATGAGAAAGAAGAGAGAGAAAGAGAAGAGAGAAAAAAAGTGAAGAGATATAGATGAGAGAAAAAGAGATAGACATGAGAGAGAAAAGAGGAAGAGAGAAAAAATTATCTTATCGAGGGGTACGATGCTTTTCTTCTCTCTCATCTCTCTTTCCAAACTACACCCACCAACTTACGCAATAATGAAAACTTTTATTGAATCATGGAAAAATGAATCGAAGGTCTATACGATTTATCTTTGTATCTTTATATCGAATTTGGCTAAAAAAAACAACATCAATTGAGCATAATTATATTTATTCTAAATTAAAGAAAATTTAAAAAATAGGGTAAAAATGATTGTTTTGCCCCTGCCTAACAATTCATGGAATTTTAAAACAGTCCCCCCACTGTTGTTCTAGAACTTGCATGATCGTTCATGACTGATTCGAGGTCGCTCTGATGCCCGTTTGATCGAAAGATTATCGTTTTCTTATGAGACTCAGCATGACGATCATTTTGATACGAACTTCGAACCGTGGATCGTGTTTTTGAGCTACAATAACAAGACATGAAATTTACTCGAATCTTAGAAACTTCGGATCGATAGTACGCTCGTTCTTTAATGTTTTTCTGTGATTTTTTCATCGTAGTGCACTAAGCATGCCGTCACGATCACGTTACAACAAACGGAATGCGATTTGGAGCCCGAACGAAGATTTCACATATTTTGAGTTTTGGCCAGAATCTGGAATCCGACGGCCAAAATTTTAGTTATTTCGTCGGCTTCTTGCATGAAATTTGACCGTCCATCACGTACGGGATTCGTTTCAATGATAGCCCTAAACCTTATGCACACAATGGAATTGGTTTTGCATTCATCCGTTACTTGAGCGTCGTGATTTGGTTCATCGAGCGAGCCGTATCGCTGCTGAATTTTCTACGACTTATTCACGGATCGGCAACTTCTCTCCAGCTTTTCTCCCTGTTCGGATATTTTTTTGGGGCGTACCACATATCGAAACGCTCGTCTTGACGAGACGAACATGCTCACAAAATTTGAGAGCGATCCGACTGGCAACAAGTGAGATATGGGCTCCGAAAGTGACTGCCCGTGACGGTAAATAATCACAGTAGCGAGGCCACACAGGAATAGTAGGCGGCCTACTCTCTTTTAGTCTTTTACCCATTACTTTATCCTGGAGTACTCGATTATGCCGAAACTTGATCCATAGCAGTTTTCAACCTTGCCGGATCCAATGGCGTTGGTCCCACAGCTATTTGATGCACCGAAAATATAGTTCCAGTTATCGGATCCTTTTTAAGATGCTAGAGGCCAATTTTTTGAAAATTATTTCTTTGTATTTCCTTCCTTAAACACGCCAGAATGCGACGAAACTTAACAAGTGGCCGTTTGGAGTGCTTATGAAGATTTTGACCAGTTATAGGGTTATTCTGAGTCTGTCGTGAATTGCACTGTTTGTCCTACTTTATTAACCCGCTTCCTCTTTCTTCCACATCGAGGACCAAGGTGCTGAAAATTGTGTTCAAACACTTTCTCTAGGACTCACCTGAGTAAATCCCCTTGGCTAAAGCAGGAGTACCTTGGCCAAGTCGATTTTCTGAACCTTGTAATATATGATAGAATGCAATGTAGAAATTTATATTTTTATAATACGATGGCATATTTTTAAGGAAAGTATAGAGTGGGATCATTTACCTTTGGTACAATATGGTCATATTAATCTTGATCATTGGATGTGAAATTGGGAGGCTTCAATTATTCCATTGACCAAGCTAAAACTTCAAAAGAAATTTTCTCGAACTTTGTGATACATCCAAGCTATCAAATTTCGCATTGAATGGTTATGAGCAGCGTTTTAAAAAACGCCGAGTCGAACCGGACTCGCCCGGTTCGACTCGGAATTCGCGAAAATGGACCGGATCGATTGAAAAATCGGAAATCGTCCGGTTCTAGAGAGAACCGGACGATTCCGCACAGTGACTTGCCGATTCACTGTACGGAATCGGCGAGTCCAAACAGTGAATCGGCGAGTCCGTACGGATTTTTTTTTTTTTTGTAATCCATG